ATGAAACACTCAGTAAGCCAATTAGAAACGACAGGAGAAAGCCTCACTAATAGGATGAATGAAATGGAAAACAGTATCAAGACTGGAAGATAAAGTGGACGAACTAGACCACTCAAGCAAAGATTATGAAAAAGTTAAGAAATCACAAGAATGGAATATGCCAGAATTGTGTGACACCATAAAAAGACCAAACTTATGAATCACAGGAATACAGGAAGAAGAATCACAAGATCAAGGGCATGGACCAGATCTTCAACAGAACTGTAGAAGAAAATTTCCTAAAATTAAAGAAAGACATGACCATACAAATACAAGAGGCATATAGAACACCAAATAGGCAAGACCAGAAAAGAAACTCCACAGCACATCATAGTAAAAAGTGTGTAAAACAAAGAGATAATACTGAAAGCTGCAAAAGAGAAATAACAAGTCACATTAAAAAAGAAAAACCCATTAGGATTACAGCTGACTTTTCAGTGCAAACTATGAAAGCCAGAAGAGCCTGGACCAAAGTATTCCCAGTTTTAAATGACCACTGATGCCAACCCAGACTTCTATACCCAACCAAAATGTCTATTATAGTAGAAGGGGAAAGAAAAATCTTCCATGACATAAATAGGCTGAAGGAATTCATGTCCACAAAACAGCCCTTCAGAGAGTTCTGGAAGCAATACAAAGCTGAAGAAAGGAATCACTATACCCAAGGAGTTGTGGAAAGAAATTCAAAGAAGGTATAAGTGTGGAAAAGTATAGCCACATCACAAATGTAAATAGAAATAAATATGACAGGACTCAATACTCATCTTTCATTAATAACTTTAAATATTAATGGACTGAAAACCCCCGTCAAAAGACACAGACTATAGGAATGGATTAAGAAACAAAACCCATCTTTTTGTTGTCTGCAAGAAACTCATCTCACTTTCAAGGACAGACACTATCTTAAAGTGAAAGGATGGAAAAAAATATATCAAGCAAATGGTACTAGGAAAAAAGCAGATGTAGCAATTCTAATATCTAACGTGATAGACTTTAAAGTAAAACTAATCAGAAGAGATAAAAAGGGCCACTTCATTCTGATCAAAGGAAAAATTGACCAAGAAGATATTACAATCATGAACATATATTCACCAAACTCT